AGGGGACCTTATAGCAATAACCATAATTTGCGTGAGTAATATAGAAATAGCTCGAAGCCTAAGAGTGTGTTTGGATTACAATGAGGTTAAGGGAAGTTGGAAACTAGGTGAGAGAATAGAAGGGAACTCTGTTCCCTTCCCTTCCTCTTGGTTACACCTCAATTTGAGGATAACAAATTTTATACTATTAGGCCCCGTTTGGCAAAGGGTTAAGGAGGAGGGATTAAAGAGAAGGGTTAACTTAGTTAATCCATCGTGAATGATTAAAAAAATTCTAAACCTGTTTGGATACGATACTTAAGACGAAGGGTTAAGTCTTTTGTGTTTGGCAAATGAAGAGGGGTTAAGGAGATTAATCTCATGATTTTTTTTTAAAAATACCACTTTCGCCCTTATTGAAGATTTATAAATTTCCACCAAACACATCAAGCTCCATGCCCTTATTGAAGATTAATATCATGGTCCTTAGACTTGCTAATGATATTTTTTTGAGAAAATATTTGCTAGTCATATTATGAGAGATTATCAAGAGAGAAAAAGGAGCAAAAGTTACTTAACATAGCTAGTTTGGAAATAAGATATCATTAAATGAAAAAAGTTACATGTTTTCACCTCTCATCTTGAGAGTGAGCAGTTTCAGAAGTGAGACATCCCTCACTTTTACAAAACCATTACACCATACATGCATGTGTAAATACAAAAGGTCATGTGAGCTATATACTTTGGAGCTCTTACTAATACAAAATACACTAAAACCAAAAAGAAAACCAGTTCTCATTGCTACCTCCTCGTCTGAGATCCACATTGCAATTGACAAAATACAAAAAAGGTGTCTGACACACCCCCTCTGGTGGCCTGGGCGCCCACGAAACCAGCCTTGCAACTTGGGAGAACACTCTATATCTAGGTCCAAGTTATGCCGCAGTTGCACATGGTTCTATGCTACAGTGTTTTGTTGAAATACAGGATCATCCTTTTCCATTGTAAGATGGTCTGGTTCGCTACAGGGTACATTCCCATATATGCTGCCGAAATGAACACGACATCCTCTGCCACAATTGATCCAAACCATCAGGTAGAGCATAAATGTTCTTCACTGCTACAGGCATGAATCGAGGCCTTTGTTCCTCCATGAAACAATGCATTAGCGCCTTCTAACCTGGAAAAGTCCATTTTATCTTGCCAGAGAATTCATTTGTATCAGCCTCAAACATTCTAATAAAAGATCAATAGAAGTCAGCCTAAATGCTCAAAAGAAGCCTATGGTAGTAATTTCATTGGAAATCTCATGTCTGTAATTTGTAATTGTTTATTTACCTATCAATAATTTACTTTGGCTTAATGCACATAGAGCTCATTTTTTGGCATATTTTCTGTCTACCTCTTTGTAGACTTCCTGATTCTGTATAATGCATACATATTAACTCATAAAGGTAAAATGATTTGCTTGCCTGCTAACTTATTGCAACTTCACTCTTTAGGGTTGTCTTTTTAAGTATATTTGAGTTGTGCATGCTTTTTGCCTGGTACAAAGAATAAGATTTAAATTTCTCAACCTGCTGCAACCTGGTAATGGATAACTAATACACAATTTGTTGTGAAATGATTCCGACGCAATACAATCTGACCATGTAGAAAGGCTTGTGATGCTCCTTAAAATTAGAGATACAGATGACACTAGATTAAGTATATGCTTAGTTCAATAGGCAGAATGCATCAAACCAGTAAGCTTTTATAAAGTAATCGAACAGCAATTTTATATACAAGCTGTAACATGGATCACTCTAGAGAATTTTTTTTTCACCCAAGAAAGAAATAAAATGGAAATGTTTCCTGTCATAATTGAACAGCAATTTTGATTGATATTAAGAAATGAACAAGTGAAGGTAAGAAGTTAGTCTAGTCCAATATATTTTTATTGTAATATCTAGAAGGTAAATTAAGCAAAGCTAATACTTAATAATCTGTCAGACTCTACCTTATGGAGCTGTGCATGTTATGGATTGATACATAAGATTAAGATAATAATCAATTATTGCTAAGATAAAATGTGGTAAATGAGGATGGGTAATTCAGAGGGCAATCTATTCTACAAAGAAATCAACATTTGGTCTTAAAACAATTAGTCTTCACAATAATTCAATTCACATCATCTTGGATTCAATCCAAATTAAAAGCTACTTTACTAACAATTTTAACTTTTTTTCTTAAAAACATATCCAAATTCTCTCTATTAAGCCTCTATTGGCAGCAATAATAATGTTTACACTATTAATAGTCATAACTAACAAAGACCAAAAACATATAAAAAAACGACAGTTCTTAAATTATCTGACACAATAATTCAACAGATTAATAAAGAATCTGTAGGTAGATTTCATAAGATTTAACCTCAGCTCGCTAAGAATCTACTACAGTAAAAACACAAAATTACTCAAATTATTCGGAGAAAAAAATTCATGAAATTGGTTAGCTCATGGAGATCATCACCTGGCCGCCATGGCTCCAGGACTTGAGGCGAGCAATAAAGGTTCCAGCATGAGAGAATCCATCACCATCGCCAGCAAGCGCGTGCTCGAGGCTTAACTGGATCGACTTCGATTCAGAGGAGAAGGATGAGGAAGACGATTCGAGATCGGGCTTGCGACGGATTGGAGGAGAGAGGCTAGGGTTAGGATTAGGGATTAGGGAGTCGAGATCGGGGTGAGATCGTTGTACGCCTTCGAACTCGTCGTCGTTTTAGGATGAAAAAATCGCCCAAATTTTTCCACCGCCTACCCTCGTGTGAGAAGGTGGAACAAGGCTTGTTTCGCCTTCTAAAGAGGAATTGTTATCCTTTCTTACGACGGGTTAAATGGACTAACCGGGTCACGTGCGGGTTTGTTAACCCTTTTTTTTTTTTTTTCTGTTTGGCTGGCTAATGAAGGGTTAAACCCACTTAACCCCTCATTTATCCCCTTGCCAAACACAGCCTTAGCGGGTGACCAAAGGAAACTAGGTGAATAACTTCATCTCCTCAATGTTCCCAAACGAGGTGAATGGTTCCCCTAACTTACCTTCACCCTTATTCCCCTGAATCCAACAAGCCCTAAAACCCTAGAAATTCCCACTTTGGAATTGGAAGTTTGGAACCCAGAAACTCCCCTATAGCACAAAAAAGAGCTCTCGACATGCCCCAGTCTAAGCGCCTCTCTCTAGAGGAGGAGGAAGAGGAGGAGGAGGAGGTGATGAGCGAAGTACACGTGGGCTGCCCTCCTAATTTCTCTGGTCCCTATATCTCTCACTTCACCTTCCCTTCTCCATTATCGTCACCGGGTAAACCTCGATCGCTAACCCTTTCTGTTATTTTTTTTTGCCCCCCACCTCCTTTTATGGGCTTTACACATTTTCCTGTGGATTGAGTCCTGTGACATTCTAAGCCTGGAATTGAACGACGCTGCCATGATTAACAGCCATTTTGAGAAATGGGTTTTGCGAAAGATCAGATTTTGACGCCTCATTTGTCTTCTCTAAGGGTATAATTTAGTAAATAGTTGCCACGAGGTTCTCTGGGGCAATCTCTGTTTGCATTCAAAATTAGATCGGCAGAGGGTTGAAGATTACTCTACTACAATTTTCTCAAAATTTTCAATTAATTATAGAAGAGAAAGTTAAATGGACGGGAAAAACAGTGTTCTCAATTATTTCAATCTGTTTGAAGGCTTGGAGGAATCGTAAGAACCATATCATCATGTAAAAGATCCTTCTTTGATACAATGTAGGGAATCGTATTTTTAGGTGCTGCACATCCAGAGAGTAGCTGATTAGTTCGAGATACTCAGGTTGTGTGCAAAATGCATACATTTCTATTGATATCTTTTCTAGCGAGCTATAGGTAATGGGAAATAGTAAATGTAATAGCTTTTCTTTTTACGTCTCTAGTACTTAAGCGACAAAAAGGTGCGGCCGTGTGAAACGCCAAATACTCCATCTTGTCATTCTATAATAGTACCAAAGTAGTGCCAAAGGTATGTTATAATTAGATTTAAACTATATTTTCATGCCAACCTGCATTCTTTCAGTGAAGGATGCATCGACTGAGTTTGTGGATAATTTTTAATCAGGTATACAGGATTGGGGACATAGTGATCAACTACAAGAAGGGGAACCTTCGACTGTAATGCTTAGACTAGATGATGATGGTGATCTTGCTCTAGCTCGGCGAGGTGTTAAATCCTGTGAGTTTTTAGTAGGATCCTTACTCACCTTATCCCTCTGCTCTAACCGCAATTTTTTATTTGCTCATATTTGATCATAGTATACAGTGGTACAGAGTCGAGCCCAATGCATTGAGGATCTACATCCTCATGTCAAAGATACTTCAAGCGAAAATCTTACTTTTGATGAAGATGGCGATCTTGTTCTAACTAGGCAAAGCAGTAATTATGGCAAGTCTCTGCTGAGTCCCAATCTTATTGTATGTTACCTTGAATCTTTTTCTGAGATTTAGATCTACAAAAGTAGGCAAACCTAAAAAAAAATTAAAAGGTATTATTATGTTTTCATCAGTTGTTTGAGATGCATCTAATTCTTTTCTTCTTATGTCTACAGAAAGATATCCAATTTGTGCAGTAGCTATCCAACACAGCATCACATCTTCACTTCCCAGTGTTGGACTGCAAGTAATGTTTAAGTTCCTAGCTTTTTATTTCCATGCACTTATGGCATTCCACCTGATCCTTTTTCCTATGTTGTTTCAGGTATGGATGGCAGCGTTGGTGTTAACTGATTTTGTATTGCACAAAATTTCTACTTCCTCCGACTTTAATGGCACCACTGCCCTAGAATTGGGTGCAGGAACAGGTGATTTCATTGTTTCAAATTGACAGGATATTAACTGTTGCATAATGATTTGAAGTTCCTCTATAAGTTCTATTTTCCTCTTAGGAACAAGTTGCTGAAGCATTAACTGGGTATTCTTAAGTACTAAAATTTATTTTGTAACCTTTCCCAGGTTTAGTTGGTCTGGTACTTGCATTGGTTGCTCGAACAATCTTCATAACAGGTTTATTAGCTCATTGCTTTAAATATGATCAGCTGCTTCTCTCTCATAAATCTCCTGTGTAGCAATACAATCAGTAGTCTAAAATAAACAGCATTCCACATTCCAATTTACTTTATATAAACTGCATGTTTATTCCTTATGAGGAATATTACATTCATTATGGACAACAAAAGAATATGGAAGTGTAAACAATTTTAGAAATTCTTCTTGTATCATATGAGTCTATGCATGCAATGAAATTTGTGTTTAGGAATTCAGGTGCTACAGTAAGTGATAGGAAAACTATTTCATGTTTGAAACTACTATTATTTTATTGCTGGTCACCTTTGTTTGATACAGGCTTTACATTATGGCAATCCACAGATAGAGGTTCTGATGTCCTCGAGAACTGCACAACTAATATTCGTTTAAATTCTAGCGTGCTTAAATATCCCGAGACTAGTGTTTGTGTAAGGGAGCTTGATTGGAGGGAGCAATGGCCTCCTCGTGTCCAAACACGTGACTCTGAATCTCAGAGGTGAATGCCTTGTCATTTCTTCAGTTAACATCCATTTTTGTAACTTGTTGGATAAGGGATAAGTTCGTTTCAGCCTTAAGAATTACAATTTAAAAGGGTCGTTTACATATGTAGCTTAGAACTATGATTATATCCCATGAGTTTCAGCCATGCCCCCATACTCTGCCTTTTACAATTTGCCGTGCCCTGTACCCATAACTGTGCAACTTAGTTCCTTCATCATCATGTGGTTCATTTTAATGTCACCAATGTTATATGAGAATTTTTTTGGTTTATCACTGGCAATGCTTTTGGCGTTTAAATATGTAGTTTCATATTGTTAGTTTACATGTGGAAGTAAACTTATTTAAATGTTCTTGTTCTTCTTAGTATCATTCTTTTCTTAAGAATGTTATTGAATAAATCGCTCAACTAAACAGAGATAATATTCTTAGTATGTTAAGAAAGGAAATTTTATTAAAAGGAGAAAACTTATGCTTGATGGAAGAAGACTAATGTATGAAAAAGGTGGATAACTGCATCTACTGACGTGTAACAAAATATTGTGTTCATTTCCACACGCACTTGCACATACACCCAATTGCAAAGCAACAAACTACTAATAAGGTATTGTTACTGCTTATTATTATCCAGATTACAGTACTCATGGACGCCATCAGAGATCGAAGAAGCTGAGGGAGCATCATTTCTTTTTGCCGCTGATGTAATTTATAATGACGAGCTTACTGATTCTTTTTTTAGCATCCTTGAGAAACTAATGTCACGAGGTTCAGAAAAGGTAATAATACGTAGATACCACGAGTAACTAAAGATATTGAGCCATACTTGCAATAAACTACATAGATTTGATCTAAAATCCTTTGGTCTTTGGGGCTAGGTGCTATATTTGGCCTTGGAGAAAAGATACAATTTCAGCATGGATGACCTCGATGTGGTTGCTAATGGTTATGCTCATTTTCAAAGTTTTTTGAAGGACGAGGAGGGTAAACACTCTTTAAGATTTAAATGTTTTGTAGTTTTAAATTTATTTTTAGATCGACACTTCATCAATGGCTGATTTTTCCGCAGAATGCATAAGGCTTGATGATAATTTGCTTCCATGCTTCAAGGGTGAGCGGCTGGATATTTCTCACATCCCGCAATACATAAGAGAATATGAAAGGGGGAAGGATGTTGAATTGTGGAAGATTACATATTTTTCGAATAAACCAAGGGAATAAAGTTTCTTGAAGAGTTGCTTCTTCCTAGAGATCAGTGTTCATGAAAGCTTTGTAATTTTTAGAGTACATGCTGACTAATCGTGCTGTGAAAGAAGAGAAGTTTTATCTCATTGGAATATTCAAAATGTATGTTTGATTTATTATGAAAGGTACTTGTGACTTTCATAACTTTTGTAGAGTCCAAATTTTAGGGAATAGGGTCAACAGGATAATTATATCTATGTTCATGGTATATAACAAATATTAAAGGGGTGAGGAGAGCTCTTTTCTACAATATAGCCAAGTAATTTTTGTGATAGGCGTAGATAAATGTCTTGATATTTGATATGTAAGCGACAAAGTATGTGATTCAGATTGAACTCTAAAATACAATGACAAATGAACGAGTGGAAAAAAATAAAATTAAAACAAAGGATAGTTCCGTTGCCGGGACTTGAACCCGGGTCTCTCGGGTGAGAGCCGAGTATCCTAACCAACTAGACTACAACGGATTTGGAGTGCGATTATTTTTATTACATTTAAATATCATTCAATAATGATCAAATCGCTCAGCTCCAGCTTCAAAGGGTCAGACCTCATGATGCCCACGTGAGATTACTCAAGGCACTATTCTTCCATAAAATGTAATAATGCCAGAAAGTACCAAAATGCAAGCCTGTTCCCCTGGCTGCATGCACGCACCTAACAGAAAGAATACACAGTAACAAGCGTCGATAGAGCAACACAGTACAAAATGAAGTACATGGCGTGACAAAATCGAGCTCATACCTATAATTACAGTGATAGTATCCATCTATTTCATTTATGTTCATTCATCAACTACAACCCCGATGATCAACCGATATGCTATTCATGCTCATATACCGAATTATTTAATACCGATACAGCAATAATTTAAGAATGTCAATCAGCACTCTCTTAGTCCCACATCACGGGAAAAGATGAGAACAACAATTCGCAGAAACAATGTTTTGCTGTCGATATCATTAATTGATACAGTCAGGCCTTCAGGGAGCTTCTGAAGCCTCTGAATCAATCTAAATTCACCACGTAATATTCTCCGTCCACTACACGCGTACAAAAACACCATTTAAAAGTTACTGAGTCAATGAACCAAGCTTCCTCTCAAGCCTCTTCGCAGAGCGAAGAGCTTCCAAAGCCTCTGCCTGCTTTCCTTCCCGTTTCAAGTTGAGCGCCTTAATTTTTTCAGCCTTTATCATCTCTTCCAAATGACTTCTCTCTCCCTGAAAGTTCCCACTTTTATCTGAATTTGTTTTCGGTTCTAATTTCTTAGAGGGTTGTGCACTTAATTCATTATCTTCCCACCCAATTGATTTAAGAGCAGAGAGTAGCTGAGGATCAAACAAATCCTCAACACCCACATCATTTGAATGTGCCCTAGTGCTTGACCCTTGGTTGCTAGATTCTTCTAACTGGCTCTCCAATGCCTTGGCCAGTTCAAGCTCTGCCTCTGATTCATCTATCTTCCCCTCTCTTCTCAGCTTTAGAGCATTGCGTTTATGAGCAAGGGACTCCTGCTGCAGTTTGAAGCGATCACGACTAGATAAGGGCTTTTGAGCCTGTTGGTTGGTTCTGCTCTCTTGTACAACTGAAACAGAAGTTGCTTCAGTTGCAGGAGCTGATACAGTTGAAGTCATAGCATTGGATTGAAGAGATCCCCCTTCTGGGCTGTTCTCCAAGAGTTTTGCGTGCCTTAGCTCTTCTCTGGCTTCAGACAACTTCCCTTCTCTCTTCAGTGCCACTGCCTTTCTTTTATGAGCTAATACCTTTTCCTTTTGAGTATCTGTCACATGAGCAGTATTCTGCTCGGGTGAATTATCTGCCTTTGCTCTCTCAACCTTTGACTGCAAAATTTCACCATCGAAGGGAGATGTGCTAGGAATAGTTTTGGCTGTTCTTTCTTCAAGTTGAGGACCTGGCTTTCCAACTGAAACTGAAGTGTGGGGCAGAGGTTTGCCTTGGTTATTTCCTTTTGAATCAATTTCTTGATTCCTTATTTTTCTGCCCATGAGTAATGGTGGGGAGTCTTCATCCTCTATTGGTACAGAATCAGATTTACCTTGAGAAGATGAAGGCACCGAATCAAATGTAGAAGAGGCTTCAATGTCGGCTAACTGCTTTTCGAGTTCCTTTGCCCTTTCAAGCTCTTCTTCTGCCTCCTCAGTCTTACCTTGGCGTCTTAATGCAAGGGCTTTCCTTTTTACGCTCAACAATTCCCGTTGGATCTCTGCCTTGCTCCTCCGAGGAACTATAGGAGTCTCATGGAGTTTGTTATTTTCCAAGTTTGCAGGCTCACCATCATCATCCCATCCTAGGTTCTTCAAAACCGACATCATTGCAGGATCATGCAAGTCCTGCTCTGTTACCTCTGCTTCCTCTCCTTCCTCACTGAAATCCGAAGTCCTAATATTCATCTCTAAGTTCTTCGTGCTCATTTTAGGAGCAGGTCGTTTTGATGCAGTCTCCATCTCTTCTAATTGTTGTTCAAGGGCCTCTCCTTTCTTCAATTCTTCATCTGCCTCCTCTACGCGGCCTTCCCTTCTTAAAGCAAGGGCCTTCTTTTTCAGAGCCAGTAATTCTTTCTGAATTGCTAGCTTACTTTTTGCTGGCAATTTCCTGTCATTCTTCACGGTTGCCTGATGCCCAGATTTTTCTGAAGAAAATTGAGAGGTCGAACTCTTTGGCATAACCTCTGGTGCAAAGGTTTGCTGCCCATCAACCTGGATGGTTTCGAGATCCTTCTCAAGAAGTTTTGCTTTCTTAAGAAGCGCCATTGCTTCAGCTACATTACCTTCGCGTTTTTGGGTAAGAGCTTCTTTTTTCAGGGTAAGAACTTCATGTTGCAAGGCTTCCCGATCTAAAGGATTAGAATCCAGAAGGTAAGGAACTTGTTCATCATCTTCTTCTGTCCATCCAAATGATTTCAAGGCAGCACCTAATTCTGGATCATTCATATCATTATCGGTTACATCAAAATTATCATCAATTGTAAGCTCATCACCCACATTAAAAAAGTTGTTGAACTTAATGCCAGGGATCGATTCATTTTCCACTTGTAGGTCATCATGTTTGTCATTGTCCATACTCCGAATTAGTGCAGAAAGCTCATCATCTGAATCCTCAGAATCACCTAAAAGCTCCTGTTCTTCCAGTTGTTTTTCTAAGATTTTAGCACTCTTCAGTTCTTCTTTTGCTTCAGCAAGCTTCCCTTCACGTTTCAGCTGAAGGGCCTTTTTCTTAAGAGCAACAACCTGAGACTTATCAATGCTGCCTGCTTTTCTACTGGAAGAAGGTTTATGTGAAATTTCTCCAAGAAGATTTGATAGCTCACCCTCCAAGCTCAGATTTACAGGCTTTTTCTCTGCATGATGTAGATCAGCATCAGACCAGCCTAGTTCTCTCAATTCAGCTGCAAGATCACCTTTTTCTTCTTCGCCTTTTTGTGAGGGAAGCTTTTTCTTATTGCTGGATTCTTCAAAATCATCTTTCTTCTGCTCGGAAATGACAGTAGACAAGTTTGAAGTTCTTGAAGCCATTCTACGGTTCTTTCTTAATGCAATCTCTAAAGCCGCAGCTTGCCTCTCAAGTTCTTTACTGCGCTTGAAAAACTGAAGGGCTTCTGCAGATTTTCCTTTTCCCTTCAAAATCCTGTACTTTTCCTTCTCCTCGATTGCTTGTCGACGCAAATCTTCTGGACTATTTGCTCCAGTGTCAATAAGGGACCCTCCTTCCCTGCCTAAAGCAGGAGAATCTTCCTTCAAACTTGAAGATGATGCACTGCTTACACTTCTTAGAACATCCGGAGTCATATCAGCATGTGATTCTAGCTTGCCATCAGTTCCTAGAATCTGATGCAAGATTTCTTCCTCTTGACTTTGCACCTGTTTTGAGTTACCTGCAGAGAAAGATATAGATCACATTCAGAATTCCATTGTTTTAGTTAATCTAGCTTCCAAGATTCATCTTTGTGGACATATGCTAATTTAATCTAACTAGCCCCCAGTTCCCCACTCTAATTTTCAACAGTGGGAAGAAAATTATGAGAAAAAGAATGAAAACAGAAAGACTTCCCTGGAAAAGGAAAAAGGTTTTGTTTTAATTCCTTATTCTGCTAGCTTGATCAACGACAACAAAAGGACATTACTTCCCCATGATTATTAAAAGAATTATATGTTCGGATGCTAAGAAGGGTAAACAACTCAAAAAATTCTCTAGATAGAAAGATACATTCAGATACCAAATTAATCTACCACACCTCTTATTTACTAAAGCATGTTTATATGTGAAGTTAGAAGATGGCTCGAGATGCTGATGAATTAGAAACTTGCCTTTTGCAGCTCGATTTTTACCATATCTCAGTTCAAACCGTGCTGCATCCTCTAGCTTTTTACAAGGATCACATATTCGTACTGGAGAGTCACCTTGTCCTCGTAAAATCATTCTCTGCTGGGTGCAGCTATTGCAAAACAAACCTCCACATCTGCGACAATGATGCTGAAATAGAAGACAAAGGATCACAAGAAAGAGGGTTACTAGAAAAAAAGACTACAATATTTGTAGAGGTACACAGAATCCCTGCAAAAGATAACTATAATTACTCGATTAAGTCATATATATAAAAAAAATTCAACATAAAGAAATTTATCATTTTTTATATAAAATAACTTATGTGGGATATTTCAGGCAGAAATTCTGATCTTGTTCACACTATTGAAGAAAGACAACAGCATGTCACCCATCACCACAAAAACATCATGCTGAGTATGCATGAGCAGGTAATCACCATAATGAAATATTTATAATTCTCAGCAGACCAATTCAAAAAATAAAATAAAAAAGAAAGAGGCATTTAACCATTAGAGGTACTGGTCTAGTCTATCCAATAGTACAAAATGTATTAAGTCCTTCGTTACATGCAGTTTTGCTTACTACTCAATAAATTCAAGTATTGGCATTGTTTATCCTAAAATAACTTTCTTGTATGCACTTCTACATAACAGTTGACAAGTACAAGTCAATTTATGAGTGTATATTTATTTGTAAAAAGGTTTCTTTTTAGTTTCTGTTTCTAGTTAGATCTTGGTAGTTTATTCAGCATATTAAAAAGAGTAAATATTTATAACACTGGAGCAATCAGATATCAAAACCAATTGCATCAAAGAATGCATGTACACAGATTTTCAAAGGGTACAGATATGTGACTTTTGGTTCACATGTATTCAGAAAGGATTTACAAGTATTCACATGCACCAACACAAAACTAATCAGTCAAGGAAAGGGACTATTGGTCCATAGAATTACAATCTATATTCTAAAAGTGTGAAGGGTGTTAACATTTTTTCCAAAAATGTCCTTCAATTTGTAATATACTATCATTTAATGTTATGGGTATTTTATTTGTGCAAACTTTTGTCAAAAATATAATAATTAATAAAACAAACTCATTAAAAAAACTATACAAATTCTACCCATGGTTCATAATCCCCAAATAAATACATTATGCATAACTCCATTAACCCATAATTGAATTCATTGATATAACCCCAATCCCACCCCCTCCACCCCACATCCAACCCCCAACTGCCACATTGTATTCTCATTCATAAATATTTAAATTCCAACCTCTTTTTATTCAATTCATCTGCTGCAATATTCTATATGATTACTAGAAATGTGTTATTAACTACTGCTATGATTTATATTAACCAGGAATTCCTTTTTTCATATAATCAGTGCACTAAATATCGGCCAATATATCACTATATCAGTTGATATATCGGTTTTGATGCCCTTCTGATATGATATTTATGAAAAATATCGTTTTCTAATTTTTACATTTTTTTTCCAATATATCAAAAATATTGGCCGATATTTCATTGAGGAAATATCGGCCAATATTAGCTAATATCCAAATGAAAAAGATTACTGAGTTTGAGTTTGGTTTTGGTTCCCACCAGACTGGAAAACTTAATAAATTCCCAAACCCAAATACCCTAAATCCTTAGTCAATCTCATATTTCTCCTCCCTCTTCGTTCGACACTCCAGCTCAAAAATGCTAGGCAATTTCAGATACGAATCTCTCCTTTCTCTCCACTCTCTCTCTTCCTCTCTCTCCTCTGCTCATGTCTTCTCTCTCTCTCTCAGGCAGTGGCGGAGCTTGAAAAAATAATTTGGGGGGGGCGAAGTTACATAATAAACTCATAAATACTTAATTCATTCAAAATAATCACCAATTCAATGTTATATAAACATCTAAAACTTTGCACGCCGAGTTTTCATCTTCTTAAAATAATCAATCACAGAATCAGTATCAATTTCTTGAACAATCTCTTTCTCGATATACATAACTAAATTATCTGCTAAGAATGCGTCTTCCATCTTGTTGCGGAGCCTTGTTTTTACAATTTTCATGGCAGAAAATGCTCGCTCGGTAGTAGCTGTAGACACCGAAAAAGTTAGAACAAGACGAATTAAGCGGTCAACAAGAAAATATTCACTTTTCTTTTCAGTTTCAGCCAGTGTCACACATAACTCGGAAATAATTGAAAGACTTCTCAATTTTGGATCATTGCGGGCGTCGAGGACAAAATGTTCCAATTGAAACTTCAAAATGAGCTTATCTTGACCATCAAAATCAGCAGGATAATATTTGTCAACAAGCCGATCGCCCCCCCAAATATATATAATACATCAAAAAAATTTTGAAACGAAGGGGGGGCGATCGCCCCCCCAAAGAACAACTAAGCTCCGCCACTGCTCTCAGGCCTCTACCTGTATCTAATGTCTCTAAACATCATATATCATTATTCATGATGCAATTTCTTATGTTTAGAATACATTAAATATGTTTTGATTACATATTACAATAATATGTTACATACAAACATCATCCGATATGACACCCGATTCTTTTTACATATCCCCGATATATCCCCTATCTCTACAATCTGATATGGATTTTGGCCATCCAATATTTCAGATATTTTCGATATTTAATACATTCATTATAATACACACACATACACATAGACACACACATAGATACATATGTACATACATAGATATATACATACATTATACATACATGTATGTGTGTGTATACGTGCAATAACAACTAGATGATTGTAACTATAACGTATATATACCACCATATGTTTCATCGTTTCTACCTCTCATCTAGGAGTATACTTGTTATGATTGAAAATAATTATTCTACTTAATAAACTATCTATCAGTTCACATCCAATGATAATTAGTTAACATTTCAAATACTATCTATCCTTGAATTTATTATAAATATAAATGACTAATAATGAGCATAAATCCCTTGGCTTTTCAAAAAATGTATCAGAACATTTCGATCATAAAAATAATATAACACACCAAAGTATTGTTTACCATTGGATGGAATACAAAAAATTTTAAAATTAATTTTTTTCCTTAGAACATCATTATTATATAGAACTATTATAATTTTTATTCTATACCTATCTTTATGAGACCTATACTTTATAAGACTAATATAAACATTACCATGAGATTAATTCTCTTCATCTTTCCTAAATCATAATTCAAAACCCTCTTCATCTCCTATAATTCATAACCAAAAGAAATTTTATCCATCTATAAATTCACCCCTCTCACCATCAAATCCAAAAATATCACTCCTCAAAAACTTACCCTATTCTCCTAAAAAACTCCCTCTCCAAGCTCACTTATCCACCACCCCAAGGACATCAATCCTAAGTTTGTTGGAGCGTGACGATGTAGCATTGATCATATGCTCTGACAAGATCATACTCTTCTTTATAAATGGTGAACTTATACCTCGATCTCAACCATAGCACGGCGAACTATTATGCATGCTAGCCATTGATGTTCGACTGTCAGATTTACGGCCGAGGAAGGGTATTCTTCATAGGGCTTGCAATGCCAAGGAGGGATGGGAGCATCCGTGTTAAATGAGATTAAAGTTTTATCGTTTATAGTATGGGGTTATTTGTTTATGGGAGTTACAAGATTGGACTTGATATGAATAAAATATTTATTGTTTTCAACGTGTTCAACTCTCAATACTTCTTTAGCTCAGTTCTTTCTAAGTAAAATAGTTACATTGTTAAAGTTTTAATGGCTCGATGTTACAATCATGATCTATGTTGGATTTCAAATATTGCTAACATAATTATCATAGTTTTAATCACTGTTTTAAAAAGGCTCCGCCTAGTCCGGCTAGACATACGCCTAAGCCTAGGCGGTACCTAGACTACCTAACTACCGCCTGAGCGGTACCCAAACTACCCATCTAGGTTTTGAAAGGGTTTAGTAGACCATTGTCTGCTAACATGACTGCACCTTTTTGGCCTTGATCGTGATTTTCTATGTTGCAGCCTCCACGTCTTCTAGCCTCCTTCAAACTCTTTTAACCTTCAGATATGAACATCTCCACTATCTTCTCCGACATTCAGCAAAACCTTCTCGACCACCACTTAAATAAAGAAAGAGATTCGCCTAGACATCAGTCTGACACCCAAGCTTTCGATAACATTGACATTCACTATCAATTATTGTAATTAAAAAATAAAAAATAAAACCTCCTAAACTCTAGGCGTTTGGTCCAACGCCTAAACCTCCTAGCGCTTTCTAGTCTTGTCAGTTATTATTTCGTCTATTTAGTATTCAAATATGCATGGTTTATTATGGATCTAAGAATGCTATTTTTTTGACAATTTTATATAAATTTAATACATACTCTTATCAATTATTATGATTAAATAATTTTAAAAATAGCTAAACGCTAAGACACTGCCTAAGCATACGTCTAGGCGTCTAGACGCTAAGAGCTGGCTCAAACGTCTAGTTCGCCTAACGCCTTCTATAACATTGGTTTTAATAGACGAGTTCTTAAAATTTTTTGGATACAATATTTTGAACGAGTTACATAATTATTTTGTAGATTTAATAGTGAAAGATGGATTGCCTGCTGGGCCTAATCTCTCCAGATCCTGTAAGGTGACCTCATATCTCCATTTTACAAACAACCCTCCGTCTTATATGCTCCTTACAAAGAGGTTTGGTCCCTCTAGATCCTAAAATACTTTAAAAATAATACATGTGCCAATGTTAGTTGTAGACTCGTATGTTTGTGAAGACAATTCCTACATACCGTTAGTCTAGTACGACCTCAAATTAGAAATAAATAGTGATATGGAAATGTACATATTTTTATAACATGACATCCGAAAGACTAATTGGGGAAGAGTGAAACTACTCAAAGAATGCAAAAATTGTTTGCTGAATTTAGAGAATCTTAGTTATCACTTAGGTACTGTCTTGACTTGATATCTCCAAATGCTTAAGGATCAAGGAGGAATGGTGGATCGTATCTAGTCTCTGTTTTCCTTTTACAGCATCTTATCCATTTCTAATCTCTTTTCCCTTTATTTTCTTCAGCTTACTCACGTTTCCCACAAAAGATGGTTGATGGAAGCAGACCCTCATTGTAGGCTCAATTTGTTCTTCGTACAGCAAGGAGGTATCACAGGCTCTCGCCACGTGCTGAACAAATAATTAAAGAACCAGTCTACCTCGGTTTAAAAGCATATGCAAGTTTGTGTCTGTATGCTTTCGTGCCTCTGGTAATTGTGTTTATACACTCAAAAGTAGATGCACTCAAAATGGAAAGGAATAAAATCTAATACTATCTTTGCAACAATAGATGAGTTTCTAGATAAAGAAAGACATGATAAAATAAAGCACGCCCAGGAGCCGATTTTATTTTTTTTACACTAATCATCCAATTAACATATTTTCCCTCATTGAGGGTAAACTAATACTGGTTATAACTGCACAAAGGTCAAAGTCAAGAAAGTTCTACATGATTTCCGTGTTCCCATTTCACTTTGATTATATGAATGACTTTCTTCAACCTACAAGTCGATTTAAGGATAAACTAAAGCACTAATCAGTACTGTAAAAGGAACCAAAACTTACCCTCAGAAGTTATAAACACTGACACATACAAAACTCGTGCTCATTATTGATTCTAAATAACAAAGGGCATACCTTTCGGTTGATAAAAGTGAACTGGGAGGAGCATCCCTGGCAATGAGAGGCATCAACCACCCAGTTCCCCCCTCGCATCGACGGTTTCGAAGGCAACCCAATCTTCTCCAACATCTTCTCGGTTATATACCAGGATCCTCGACAATATATTCAATAATAAAAATAATTTCTTAAAATATTGAGCATCGTTCTACAGAGTTCTTCTGCCCAAAAAAAAAAGCAACATAAATTGTAAGTTTCAGCACTTTTACAAGGAATCGACCAAGTTTGAGGATCAATCATTCGATTTCGATAGCTATCGTTATCATCTAGAACTAGGAGCGGGCAAA